ATCTTACAAATCGAGATTATCTACACTAAATTTGAAAAGTTTAAAATATAGAAGGATCTTCAACGACTTAGTCTTCTGCTTCAGAATCATTCGGCTAGAAACGAGATTAAGACCCAGCAAGTACTGGGTTTTTAGACCTTGTAGCAGTCGCGTAGGTGGGCTCAACATGGGCTACAGACGGCTGAAAAGCAGAATCTTTTCCAAAGCATTTAATTCCTTTGTTTTCCGAACATCGAGATGGCTTAGCCTCTTACCAACCGATATCACAGCCAGCATCAATTCAAAAGTTTTTCGGCAAAGACTGGCTCAGATCGATGTTCTGAAAGCATTAAAGATTTCAAATGTTTAGACTGCGCCACTTGCTTAGGAGATGGTAGTACGAGACGGTGGTTCTCCGATTTCGAGTCAGCCAGGACTCAGTGACATTTCCTACTATTAGAAATTCTATTTTCATTTTAGAGCTCTTCCATTTTGCGATGCATTTCGGTTTTTTGTTGTTTGTTTGGTTTGTTGATTTCACACTCATGTTCCCGTGAGCTTTCTGCTGTTTAATTCGTCTCCAATGGGAATAGCCGTTCAAGGAAATCAACGATTGGTGGTCCCACTACCTTGAGATCCCCCTCATTCGCTCGCCCAGGGTCCCGGACGAACTCTTTCGTTCGGGTTAAGTCGGTCATCCGAGCCCTGGTTCCATTATTCAAACCCGCGTTCGGGATGGGGACCAGGATTTCGGTCTAGGACGTCACATCGTCTGCAGATGGAGAACGACCTGACCACCCAAGGAGACGAGACTTGCTTTCACTTCACCGTGGGAACGTAATTGTCATGTTCAAGATGTCCTACTCTGTATTCTTTTTCTCGGCGCACCTACGAGTGCAGCTTATAAATAAATAAATAAATACTCATCGACTCACTGGCATCACGGCATCATCACCTGAGTGCCAATACACTTGCGTTTAGCTTCTTTTTAGTGAGAAAAGATTATAATTGTGATCCGTTATCTCAGCACCTCTTCCTTGGAGAATTTTAAGGTTTTTATTCGACGACGCAACATATTGCATGTCTTCTGAGCAAAAACTTACAAGATAATGTAAAAAGTTGAACAAATCTAAACTGAAATGGCGCGAACAGCAGGTCTCGCTAAGCATACTGTATCTCGCCTCCGCCTTGCTATCGTAAAGACCATATTAAGGCCATGACCTTAACAAAATAGAATGGACTTTTTTTACAGAGTATCGCGCGACATTTCTGAAGTTTATTGAGCTTAGAACAATATGAAGAGGATTAGCAAGCCTTCTGAGCAGATAGGCACGCAGATTTTCAGTTCCAAAAAAGTGTTAACGCTACGAACTAAGTCTCTGATTCTCTTCTATACGTAAATATCTTTTGTCTTGTTGAGGTAAGCTGTTGCTTTCAGTACTTATGTGAGGAGCGGTTCCAGAAGCAGCGACCGACCAATTTCTTTTTTACACTTACAATATTTTCAACGCCAAAAATTTATTGTTGTTTTTAAAGCACCGGTGTGCAACTCGTTAGAATCTCGCCGATATAGAAGGCACAAAATATTATTCCACTAGTGAGTTTCACATCTTCTGATTCCCTTGTTTTTGCTCCAGAACATGCATACGATATTTTGGTGGAAGGAGTTAAAACAGCCCACTGAAAATTTGAATTAAAACTTCTGGGTCAGTACTAGGTTCTAATGCGTTTGTCATAGCATTTGGAAAACAAGTTTCAAACAATTGGTATTCAGTCACACATACGTATGTTACCGGTTCTCTGCTACCAGTGTAATACTGTTAGCGTCTTTCTTGTTATCAGTGTTTCGCTTTGAGTGCATGATCGATCTTGCGGTCTCATTTTTCCGCTCAAATCCAGCTGACCGTTATTAACCTTTTTCAGCACCAAAAAGGTAGTAAGAAAACAAAGTGGTCACCAGTCAACGTTGCGATAGGAGAGGTTGGCTGATGCAATGAAGCACTCTAGAAGCGTAAAACCGGTAAACACTGCAAGCGGTTGCAATAATCAGTGCAGTGATGCTAACCGCGATGACCCTGTAGCACTGTAACACCTATAACACCAGAAGCAGGGCAATGAGAGACACCTTTACAGAAATGCTAAGAGCAGGCCAATCCATACAAGATGCATAAATCGTAAATTTTCTTCGATCTGCTTCTTTTCTGTTCAGTGAGTTCTTACATGAGTTTGCTTACACTTTCTACATGATTTCTAGCTTAAATATCTCAATTTCAATTACATTTTGCGGTCATTAGAGCAAAGCAAGCTCTATGAGATGGCATGAAAACTCGCACCGACTTCGATCTACCTCAAGATTAAAGCTGAAATCTAAAAAGTTGTCGATATTCGGAAAATTAAGAAAATGTATATCTTTGTTTTGGAACAACACTAAATCTCTCTCTCGCTCACGCACTTATCAGACTGTCCCGAAAGTTCGTTGCCACTTCAAAAATCGTAGTCTCTTACTTCCTCGGAGGACTTGCGTAACTCTGTTTTATTTAGAAGAAGAATTTATCGCTTTACAGCAGCATCTAAATACAAGACTTTCCGCCAGACACAGCCTGTAGAAATACAGAAGGGCCAAAAACAGAAATTTGCATTAAAGATCAAAGCGATTATTAACAGAAGCTTTATGGCCGAAAATTGTGAGCTGTTTGAGCATTTTCATCCAAAGTTATTAGGTCTTACCAAAATTGATGTCGCTACATTTAAAGAGCGTAATGCCATCGTCGAAAAGAGATAATTTTGGGAGCATTCAAAGCAGCTTTGCATTTAATTTAGAGGTTAATTTTTTTTTACTCCACTTAATGGACAAATTTTTAGAAAGTGGCTAAGGTGTAGACTCGTGGCTTTTGCCATGGAAGTTCTTTTTTTTTTGAATTTTTATGCCCCTCCTCCATTACCCTAGCAGTCCAAGTAGCCGATGGATAGAGCGAACCTACAGGGATTAGAACAGTTTTCTTCTCCACAACGCGTCACAATTCCTTGATTTTTTTCATTAAAACCACTGAATTGTAGCTGGCCTGTCCTAGGCACGAACTTATCAAACACTAATGAATATTCGTAATGGAGGAGCATGTCAAATTGCATCGAGTGCTAACAATATCTTTTACGAAGTTTCGTGCGGAAATGTGGCGCCCTTTCAAAGAAAGCGAATACTCTGGGACGACTTCATTGAGAATGAAGCCGAAAACTCAAATTCGCAGTCTTGTACCCTTGTTCGTTTTGTTGGACATTACATTTTTCTTTAAAAAGTTCAATCAACACAGTTCTTGCTCAGATCGAAGAAGCAGGTCATAAAGCCTATACTGCCGATTACGACTTGTGATTCGTAGTGTTAGTGCAAGTTTTTCGTTCCGACTTTTGGCAACCTTACACAGAGAAACAAAATACGAGTAATTTTCTACCACTTTATCTCTGCAGTGTTTGCTTGTTGGAAAGCCTTTTAGAAGTGAAACGTACGATTCCCGTTTCCGAGGAATGCGAATTGCGTAAATGCTATGAGATCTCAAGACGTTATAAATTTTTTCAAATGGTGCAAACAAACTTTGGAGCCAGCCTAATGCACTTCACAACACATCATTACCATTGCTGTGTTTTTTATCTCGGCTGAAAATCACGAAAACAAAAATTCATATGCCTTCGCCATGTATACCACATACTTTTGAAAGTACACGCATTCTTTTTGGCTTTCTGCAAGGTCTAGCTTTGAGAAATATTGATTTTAGACAAAGCACCCAAATTAAGAAATCTGATAGTTCTTGAAAATTAGCGCTTGCAAAATACTGAAAATCTATGGTTGTACCTTTAAAGATTTGTGTCATACAACACATATGTGGGAATGGCTCAGCCTGTTTAGTGAGCGCTTTCACAATTTCTAGCAGAGGTAATTTACAGCAACAGTTGTATTTATGCATATCTGACGTGATGTATACGCTTGAGCGAGTGAAAGACCGGTAGTACTTTTAAAACGAAGATATAATTTCCTTTCATTTGTGGATTCAGAACATCTTATTAGATTTTACCCTGAACCTTGGCTGGAAAAGTTGATGCAAACTTTAATGCGCGATTGTGAAGAACTTGCTTTACTGAAATCTGACAGGAAACAAAAAATATATACCCTAAAATCCCGCCAATAAGTCCGGCCTTATCTGCATCTTTTGACACGAAAAATTGATAAAAAATCGCCCTCTGCGCTGCCAGAAGTCTGGCAGATGAATTCTCCCATCAGACCGCAGCAGATCTGCTAAACTTCTGGCAGCGCAGAGGGCGATTTTTTTTATCAATTTTTTGTGTCAAAAAATAGATAAGGCCGGACTTATTGGCGGGATTTTAGGGTAGCTTATTGCGATCAAAATTCAAAGTGTAATAAAACTTATATGACGACCTAGTTTGTAACCTTCGACCTAACATAATGAATTGATGAAGTAGTAACAAAAATTTGCTTCACAAGACGAAAAAAAGTCGGGTTGAAAACTCTAGCGTCTAATAACGAAAGCTGCTAGAAGGATTCCTTGAAAACATTTCTGGCCAGAATGGAAGCTGATAGTAGGTAGTTTTTGGGCAACTAAAATTAGTTAAATCCGAATACCTGAAGGAAAAATGTGACGCGTGGAGCTTTATTTGATGGCATGCTCCCATTTTTTCTTCTTAATGAAGTTTGCATAAACAGTGCACTTGCTGAATGAGTTAATAATCCTACATCCTGAAGCTCCTTAAGGGAGCCTCGTATGTTAATATGAAGAACTAAAGTTGTCTCGCGACTTTTTGAGGAAGAAAAATTTTCAGTGTAAGCTTTTACATACTTTTTTTTACAAAATTGTTGTTGATTGAATATCTGCTCATTTAATGTAATGTTAAGAGTTGTGTGCTTACCTCATATATCCTCAACGCATCTTCAACGAGACTTATCGCGGATGCAGGTGCATATGCACTGCAAGCTCCTCATACATAAGAGCAAATCATGGTGAAAAATTAGATGATCACCTTTCGATGACTTTCCAGACCACTACAAGGGCGCCCGTGGTACTATAATGATCATTTTTAATGTGAGTCATATTCCGAACGGCCTCTTCTAGATAGGAAACATATGATGGGCAGAAGTGCTGAAAAGATACAAGTAGCTTGAGCTGCAGCATCAATCGCAGAGTACTTTACATTCAGTAAAAATTTCTACCACTCACCAATAGCAATCCTCGAGATTGCCAGTTCAAATTGAGGAAAGTTGCCGCATACTTATTCAACTCTGCATCAAATTCGGTGATCTTTGGATTTTCAGTGATAATCTCGGAATCATCACGGTGGAACACCTGAATATGCCGATAATCGTTGGAAAGTTTTAATCAAAATCAAAATGAACGATATCATTACTATCATAATATTTACCTCATTCAAATCTTTGATCGCTTCCTTGTCATACTTTGAAAGCTTAGAAAGGGGTTTCTTTTCTTCCTAAATTTTATTATCATAAGTTATTGACTAATTATGGGACTTGGATTTGTGTGACAAATCGACTAATTGCTAAATCTCACTATCTTAAAGATAACTGAAATTTACGAACATGAAGACTTTGTGAAAGGTGATTGTTACCTCAGTTTACGATTTCATTTTCGGCTAAGCTAGGTCTCATTATCATAATTCCATTTGATAATTGTGTTTTACCTTGCTTGAATCCTTTGGCGCCGCCTCCTCAACCTTCAATTGCTTAGAAGAGGGTTTCTCTTTTTCCTTAATTTCAGTATCATAGATCACTGACTATCTATGGGACTTAAATTTTACCTTGAACGTAGTTTTAATCGCTGGCAGCGTCTGGTCATTTTTAGATTTGCTCGACACCACTACTTGCTAAATTTTACAATCTCAGTGACTGGCTAGACTTCGCAAACACCTCTGTTTACCTCTGTTTTACTTGGTGCTGTTTGGCTACCTTTATGATGCTGCTTGACTAAGTCTTCTAACTGGGGTATTTCTGTCTTCTAAAGCTTATTATCATAAAGACTGTCTATAGCAGTTGAATATTACATCAGCCTGCTCTGGTAGCTCCTCTCCGTCCTCGCCATCCTCAAGAAACGGATCCGTGTCAAACTAAATTTCATTTAACGCGAGTGCATTCAAATGATCATAATTTTTACTGGATTTGGCTGCTTTGTGTCAGAATCGTCACTGCCGGATTCCGCAGAGTTTCCTGCTTGGTTCTAAACTTGACCATCATGATGATTTACCTATAGGACTTGAGTGTTACCTTAGTCAATTTTTCTTGCTCCTCAACCTTCTTTTCATCTCGCTTTTCAGTTTGCTGCAACAGCTTCAATGTCACAACTTTTTTAGAGGATCTATTTGTTACCTGAGTCCCATTCAACTCCTCCTCAGAATTCTGTCTTGCCGAAGGCATTGCGAGTCCTGATAGTCCTGGTCTCGGCTAAATTCTACTGTCATGAAAGCGCTTATAGGGTTTGTTTCTTACCAAGATGTCATCATTCGCCCCTGGCTTGGAAAAGGCTGTAGAGGAAAGTATCGCTATCTAGAACAACAGTTTGCCATCATAAAGTGGTGGTTAGTATTCACTCACACTCAAGCACAGGCTGAACTTCATCTCTGACTAATGTTTCCTAGCGTCGACTATTTATGTACTTAGTAACTGATTTTTTAATGGGAGTGAAACTGCACTACTTTTATTGGCTTGTCTTTCTAAACGCCCGTGACAAAGAGGAAATGTACTAAATTTGCTTTCTTGTATGTTGTCATGTACTAATATGTTTCTTCCTCATCATGATTGCATTGCACCTGCATAGACTATGAAAGGATGTTGAACAAAACTTTATGAGTATTCCTGTTCAAATTCTCTAACGCACTGTGCACATGTATCCTGCTAGTGCGCTATTTCTTTATTTTTTCTACACATTAGATTAATTTATTGTAGATCTCATATCTTCTACAAAGTGAGATCTTTCTGTCCCTATTCCATCGGTTTTGCTATAGTGCAAAACCTTCGCGCTGCATCATCCGTGTACTCTTTTCATCCATGAAACACTAGCAACTATAGTAACAACTTTTGACGGCTTGGTCAGAACTCAGCAAAGGTGGCGCTTTCACAAGCGGATGTTGATTTTAAAGGGGAAAGCAAAAGAGAAATCGTAAAGTTTTCAGGGGTGATATCCGGCCAAACAAGATATCAGCAAACACAATTTTTACTATTTGTAGATCCGTCTGGGGTTTTAACCTCAAAAAACATGAACTTCATACACAAAAAGATAAACAATAGTTTGCTTGTTAACAGTGACTAAATGTAAGGCCCGTTTCCCGTGCATCCCGCGGGGAGTGAAGGGGATCTGATAAGGGAAGGATACCCCATTAATCGGCGATTGAAGATGAGATGTATTTTAGTAGACGCGTCTTTGAACGCTAATTCCAAATCTGCTTTCCTTTTTTGCGGAACATTTTTCTTCAAAAAAAGTCATGAGCGTTTGAATGTTCAAATTTGCCGAGCATTGAGTGCCTTAAAATCTCAAAAAGCTCCAAAACAACACCTATGCGATTTTCACCGGCTTTGTTCCCTCCTTGCAAACAATACAGGGTGTCCCAAAAAAATGTATCGAACGTTTGATTGTTAATATCTCTCTTCTGAAGAAGTCTTTTCCCTTGCTTCAGGTACCAACTGTAGAGCTGGCTTCAACTTAGATTTACATTATAGAACGAATCACTCATCTCTCTTCATTACTGTAGGATTACGGTAGAAACTTTAAGGGGGTTTTAAGCAATGAAAGGCCATATTTTGCCCCAGAAAGGAAACAAAACAGCCTTAAAACTTTTACACTGGGCTAATTAGAGTTGCTGATTAAAACTGTAAAGTTCCCAACTTATTATGATGCTTCATTGAAGAGTTATGCCAGGTAAGAAGTAGCGGCCATTTTTCAATGTTCTTAAAAAGTGCAGTCACACCGTTTAGAAGGCTTCTAATCTCGTAAATAGTTGAGTATTAAACTAAGCGTCCATAAAAAAACCCTATTACACAAGTTTTCACATTTTTTTTTGAAAAATTTTGAAACGGATGCTTTTTCTACATTGACACCATGTGTTTCAAGTTTTTACCGTAATCCTACAGCAATGAAGAGAGATGGTGAATCACCGATTGCTATTCATCACTGTAGGATTACGGTAGAAACTTGAAACATATGGTATCAAGATGGAAAAAGCTGCCGTTTCAAAAATTTTCAAAAAAATGCGGAAACTTGTGCAATGGGGTTTTTTATGAGCGATGACCTCAATACTGAACTGTTCACAAGATTGCGAAGCTTTCTAAATGGTGTAACCGCACTTTTTAGGAACATTGAAAAAATGGCCGCTACTGCTTACCTGGCATAAATCTCCAATGAAGCATCGTAAAAACTTGGGAACTTTATAGTTAGAATCAACAACTCTAATTAGCCCAGTGTAAAAGTTTTCAGGCTGTTTTGTTTCCCTTCTGAGGCAAAATATGGTTTTTCATGGCTCAAAACCCCCTTCAAGTTTCTACCGTAATCCTACAGTAATGAAGAGAGATGGGTGATTCGTTCTAAAATGGAAATCTAAGTTGAAGCCAGCTCTACAGATTGGTACCTGAAGCAAGGGAAAAGACTTCTTCAGAAGAGAGATATTAACGATCAAACGTTTGATACGCATTTTTTGGGACACCCTGTACACTCAGTACAAAACTGATTTCCACTTTCCGGTGTTTTTGTACACCTTTCCGCCAATTTTAAGCCATCTAAATCTTGATTTTGGTTAATCACACGCACGCAAGTTTTGTCGGAAAGTTGCTCCGCAAAAAGGAAAGCACATTTGGAAGCAGCGCTCAGAGCTGCGTCTACCGATATACATCTCATCTTGAATCGCCGACTAATGTTGGTGTCCTTCATTTGTGAGAGGGGACACGTCTCTATCCATCTATCTTTTTTTTCCTCCTCTACCTGGCTCGTGAAGGTTCTCATATCCCGATACCTGCGCGTAACAAATGCTAGGTTACCGTCATACAAGTGTTTTTGACAGGAAAAATGGAATTTGAACTTTGTGAACTTTCTGATAGTCCCTTGCTAGCGAGCACATCGGAGACTCGTCATCTTGAGACTTTTCTTATTTCTACTGAACATGTTTAGCACTGCCATAATATCCACAGTACAGTTTCAAAACATTTTCATTGAGTTTATAGGAAGATAAATGACCCTGAAATGAGAATTGATCCTCTGGGGATTTCCAGGGCACAAAATAGTGGAAAGCTGATCTTGTACGACTGTACCCTGGCATCATTATGCGCAGGTATCAGGGCAGGAAGACCTTCATAAACCAGACAGAGAAAGAAAAATAATATCGAAATTAGCGAATTATGTCGCGTCCTCTCTCAGAAGGAGACGATTCCAACTTAAGGTGGCAATTTGGAATAAACCGCATGTCATCAGATGCGTCTTTATAAGCTGATTCCAAATTTACTTTCCTTACCTGCGATGCCGTTCTCTGGAAAAAGTTATGAGCGGCTAAAAATGTGAAGTTATTGGGGTTTCAATGCAAAATGTGCTTTAGAATCCAACTTAGAAGTGCATGACTAGCATGATATTGAGTGTTTTGATTTGATTGCTCACAACTGAAGGAAACACAAATAAGTATTTTTTAAACAGCTGAAAACCACTAAAGTTTTTCGGCAAAAGCTAATGGACATTGAAAAGTCCAGATGTAGGAAATATACAGCGCCATTCCTCAAGGAGTTGATCAAAAGCCCTTCCCCATGGTTCCATTGAATATGAACATTTCTTGAGTTCAGTACTATCAATATCATGCTAGTCATGCACTACCAAGTTGGATTCTAAAGCACATTTTGCATTGAAACCCCAATAACTTCACATTTTTAAGCGCTCATAACTTTTTTCAGAGAACGTCATCGCAGATATGGGAGAGAGCTTTTGAATTAGCTCATCAAGACGCAGCTGATATTGTGCGGTTTCTGCCAGTCAGCCCCTTAGTTGAGATCGTTCCCTTATCAGATCCACTCCTCTCTCTACGGGGCTGTACGTGCATAAGGGCCTAAACGACGTTGAGCCATTGATCTTAGTTTAGCTTGGCGACGACGATCAAGATAAAATACGAATTTATGGCGAAATTGTGTGAATGATTGTGTCTTACTATTTTAGGTTGTCCCCCCGTAATCTGGGAACACCCTGACATTGCACGGGACCAGATAAAGTCATATTTGCTCCCTTCCTCACACAATTTTTCGAAAATTTCCATATATTAGGTTGTTGCAAAAATAATGTCCGTTTTGCAAATTTTCACTTTGGAAGGCTATAACTTCGTTCAGTCTTCATATTTTTGAATGCAGTCAAGACCATCAGAAACATCAAATCTTTTTTAACTTAGCGCGCCCCTGCCCACACTGATATCTCAAACGGGAAGAAAACCATGCGTCAGAAAACTAAAAGTTTTTCTCTTGAAAACCTCGTCTTCAAGAGCTTACAACTCCTTTCAAGCTTTGTCCCTATGTCTGTAATTAGCTTATTTTGTAGCCGCAGACCAATAGTATAGGTGCGTATAGAGAAAACTCCAACAAAGGAGGTCTGCGAAAAGAAAAGATAAAAATTCAAAAATGTTCACTCTTTTGAGCCTATTGTTGTAGGCTTGTAAGTGCCTAATTATGGAAATTTGGAATTCTTCGCGCACTGAATAGCTAAGTTTCTCTTCAAATAATGTAGTTAAGGTGTGCCACTTTCAAGCTTACAGAAATGGGCGAAGCTTTGGCGATTGCCTTGATTGTGAGAAATTTCTGACCCATAGAATGCCAGCAGCGAGTGTCTATTTTGACGCGTCAATTTCTCAGTCCACATTTCTCCACAAATCTACATAAGCACGCAGTAGGTAAACAATCTTCATTCAATACACTTGCTATGTTTTCAGAAGAATTCGTTTATTTACTCCTGAATTGTGGTCAAGAAAGTGGAAGCTATGAGATTCTGATTTTGAGTGCGGATGTGGAAAAAGCTGGTGAAATTTTCACAAGTGAGGATAGCAGCTTAATTCCACAGCCATGAGAAAGTATACGAAGAGAGCTTTCCAATGATATGCAGATGCTATATCGAGAAAGAATGTCTGATGTGAAAAAAGTTGTTTGGAATATAGGTCTAGAAAAACGGACATTATTTTTGCAACAACCTAATAATTCTATTCTGTAGTTCAACTCTACCTACAGCATTCGCCTTAACAGTTTCGACCCCTCTGCTTTGCTACGACTCTTAATATATAATAACACTGAAAAAACCTCCTTCTGTCACTTTTGTTGTTTTACCTGTTTTTTGTTCTTCTTCATTTTTATCCACTTAGCATTCACTGCAGATTAGCCATACTACTACAAATACAGCTAGACGTTTTTTT